CTTTGGGTTCTTGGCTGGGGCAGGGAATGGGGCTAGTTTGATTTGCTTTGTTTTCTGCTTTGGATTGGAGGCTGTCAGTGGATCAAACATCATTCTAGCAATAGAGAACTGGGAAACTTACCCCTGTGTGTAGCATATAGCTTCAAGAATGCTCTGGCATAAGAATCTGCAGAGGTTCTCTCTCTTCTTAGTCAGTGATACAGCTGGACTGTGAATCTCCTTACAGACTTGGAGGCTGAACCACAAGCCCAGTAGGCTCCAGTGAGAGGTTTCTGGGAGGGTCTGGAACAGAATTTAGCTTCTTTGATGGATTTGTGGTTTGGGCATGCACAATATGGGGTTGGTGGAATGAGGAGGGGACTGATGGCGTGTGGGAACAGTAAGCTCTGAGAAGTGCATTGGTCCCATCACTAATACCACCAAATATCTGGCACTGATGTGCTTGAAATGGAGGAGCAGGCAAGGGCTGAAAGGAGAATGTGTTCAGTGGTGCTTCAGTACTGCTGTCTGCACAGAGGTCACAAAGGAATAGCTCTTGTTGCTGTTTCCCCAGTGGGAGGGGGCCTGAATATGGGGGTACTTGGCACTGGCCTCCCATGAGGGATGCAAAAAGCTTCACCAGGATCCTCTCAGGACACTGCAGTCCCAGAACCATCCTGGCAGCAGAGATAGGGCTGTTGTTTCCAGAGCTGAACTTATCAGAGATCCATGCTACAACAGTCTTGAATGTTCTGAACAGCCACAGTGATCTGCAGAGAAGCAAAAGCACCAACTTGCCAAAGAAGCATTGGATGGATCACACAGGGCTCCAAGCCTCTGCTTCCCTAGGACTTTTGCTACTTAAAATGTTTCTTGGAGAAGTATCTTTGGGCCTTCAGGGTGCAGTGGTCAACAAACCCTGTGCATAGGGAAGACAGGTGCTTGCTCCAAGTGCTTTGGAGCTCAGAGTCCTGACCTGGACGCCTCCTCACCCCCCACCTTAATTAGACTGGTGGTCTCACCACTGAGCAGCTCTTCTTTTTAGTGGGGTGACTGTGGCTGTGGCTGAAGCAGAAAGGGGGATGCTATTTCTCAACAACTTCATTATAAATTTTAATGGCATCCTCTTTGGTGATTTCTGAGCTGTCTTGTAGCACCATTCATTTATATAATTATGTGGTGCCTCAGCCACATGTCTGAAGTTGAAGACTGAACCATCTCTGAGCTACCAAACACTATGAAAACTTTAGCAAGTGGAAAAGCCATATGTCCATAAAAAGATGGTGTCTTTGAGATAACTAGACAGGGAGAGGAAACTGAGAGTGATGCATACCCCAAAACCCACCATATTGCTTTTTGCCTAAATGGACAATTTCTTCTTCTTGGGATGTAACCAGATTAACCTTGCTATTATTGTCTGTCAGGGTGCTGAGTCAGTTGTGTTCCCATGGCTGTGAAAATGTCAGCTATAGGGAACAGGAAGGGCATGGGTTTCTGCAGTGATGGATGTCTTCAGATTAGCTGAGTTAGAGTGCTGGGGTGCAGCTGTGGTAATTCTTACCCAGTTTCCAAATGCATCTGTTTTAGGCATGAGGAATCCCCTCCATCTGTGCAATTTCACCTACTGCCTTAATGCTGACTCCTGGAGATTTCCCCTGCCCTCCTGCTCTTCTTCCAATCTCATATCTCTGATCTCTGGTTCCCTCTCCCCTGAGTTTCACCTCAGCTGGTTTCCTGCTGGGCAAAATACACATCCTCCTCTTTCTTCCCATTCCCTCCCTTCTCCCAGTGTTGGCAGTTTTCCAGTATAGTAACCTTGACCTTATCTCCAATTCCTTCCATTTCCTCCCCTTCAGCTAACAGTATCGGTGAACTCTGCCCATTTTCCTCTCCTCCATCCTCCAAAGGCTGGCCGTGCATCCTGCTGGATATGTTGTCATTTCTTTCCTTGCTGACTGCAGTCCTGTCTGTTCTGGCCTCCTTTATGTGTGCCACTGTGCAGGAAGCTGATAGGAGTCTGGCTGAAGCTTTTTTTTTTGTGGACCACACTGAAATCAGTGGGAATGAAGCACCAACCCCCTTTAAAAAATGCCAGCTCCTTGTGTCTCCAGAAAGAGCCTTTCCTAAGAGCTCAGCTGCACAAAAACACTAAGTGCGGTCATAAATATTAAGCCAGCCTTAGCATGCTGGTTGCTTTTTCTGGTTGCATCCTACAGTTGCAAAGAGCAGGAATGTTGGTGAGATCCTTGCTTGCTCCCCCATTTTCTTTGTGTGCATGTTTGGCCTTTTGTAGCAACAACCTGGCATGGTGGTAAGGTCTCTGTGGCTTGGGGCACAGCAGGCAGTGGCATGGCTGTGTGGTGCACTTGCCATTGCTGACGACTGCACTCAGCAATTTGGACATCTGTTTCAGTTGGCTGGGGGTTTTGGCTTCCAAGCTAAGGATCAAGGATCATGCCTATTTTAGAAATGAAGTAATCTGTCACTTAGACTCTGACTGCAAGTTTTGGGTCTACCTCTTTTGCTGCATCCTTCATTCTTTAACATTATTTTTCCCTTCTTCAGTCAAATCCTCTACCTGTGTTCACAGGCTGCTCAATTGATTGGCCTTGTGTGATTTCAACCACTTGTCTGAGAAGAAGGGTGACACTTTGAATGTTTTTTGTGTGATAAAATATATCCAGTGCATCACTGTGCTTGCAAGGATTACTTTTATCTTGTCAGTATGGTGATTGGTTAGGTATGATCAAGCTCTTTAGAAAACATTTCTCTCTAATCATTCTGGTTTCATTTGTATTCTGTAATAATTTTGAGAGTGATTGCGATCATAGAAGTGCTTTGTAGCTCATTAGTGACTTCAATTCTGTGAGGAGAAACTAGTGCTGCCTGTCATACAGGAGACTTTGTGATCTACTCTGGTTTGGCCAGAAAACTGTATTTAAAATGTTGTCAGCAGCAGTATCCAACAGAATTCCTTTTACTTTGTCAAATTACTCTCAACTCTGAAGAAATATTGGATGTTAGACCTTTCCTTGGTATTTCCTGTGATACTTGTGAAAAGGGCCATGGGGGAAGATCCATATCAAGTATCACAAACTCGTGAATATTCTGCTTTCAGTTGTCATGATTCTGGTCACTGTTGGAAAGAAAGCAGCTTTCATGATGAAATCAGAGTAATTACACCTGTATTGGTGTCTTTGACCTCTGTGAGATGCTGATTCTGAAAGGACTCTGTTGCATTTACCAGCCCCACGAGAAATTTTTAACCCATTTTGCAGTCTTAAGTTGCAGCCAGTTGTGGACTGGCTGGATCCAGCCCTTAATGCTCCATCCCCAGCCTCTGCCTCTTCTGTGTGATGTTATGGATGGGGTTGCTGAGGACATGTCCCCAGGTGGGCACAGCTCCAACAAGCTGTAACCCTCTGCCAGCAGGTCCAGAACCATGTGAGCGTCTCTGGGTCTCTCTGCTTTCCCAATCTGTTAAATAACCTTGGAGAATTATTGTGGGATTAGTAAGTCTAACTTTCCTTTTTCTGAGATGCCTTCCTCTCAGAAGGAAGTTTTTATATCACCAGCAAATCAGTTCATGAAGTTTGCTATTATGAGTAAATGGCTGTCGGTCATGATGTGGGTTAAGCACAGATCAGTGGCCAGGGCTTGAAAAGCTCCATGCCTTTTTGTCTGTAGCCTAATGGATTAGCCCATATTTTTCTTTAATATATGCACACAAACACTTTTATTGGTAAAAAGGCCCCTACAACTTCAACCATTTGGAAGAATGAGAGGTGATGAAGTGCCCCTCCATTGGTCCTCCTTTAGTGTGAGGGTGGTGAGGCGCTGGAACAGGTTGCTTAGAGCAGTTGTGGATGCTCCATCCCTTCCCTGCAAGTGTTCAAGGCCAGGCTGGATGGGGCCCTGAGCAACCTGATCTTGTGAATGGCATCCATGCCCATGGCAGGGGGGGTGGAACTAGATGACCTTTAAGGTGCCTTCCAACTCAAACCATTCTATGATTCTATTATTCTATGATTCTTCTGGCATAGCTAGCTTGCATAGAAGGCAAAATGATGAGACAAAGCATAAAACATGCTGTGTTTTTAAACAGGGCAAAGACAAGAACTGAGCGTCTCGTGTGTTGTATGTGAAAGCATTCCTGGGATGGTGCTACATGCCGCTCTGCCATCCTAATTTGCTTTCAGAGGCCCCCAAGTATAATAATTCTTTGTGTTTCCTAAAGGATGTGAAGACTAAATACAAGTTTGGTCAATGACTTCATTGTTGATTTCTCCCAGTGCTACAAAGCGATGCAAAAATATTAGGGACAGGCAGGGTGCATCTCATTGAATAAAGATATTGTGTCTCTCATAATCCAAACTGGATGCCTGTAAAAAAAAGGAAAGCCCTATGAAAAGTGCTTACAAGGCTGGTTGGACAGCAAGAAATCTTTTGTAGAATGTAATTTCGGCATCTTTCCCAATGGGACCCTTCATGCAGGAGGACTGGCCAGCATTTTGGAAACAAACCCAACCAACATTAGGTTTGGACATCTGCTTGTTTTAAGGTTGCTTTCACAATTTTCTCTGTAGCTGAAGATTGGTACTTGATGTCCATGGGAAAACGTTGCCAGAGAAGCAATGAAGTTATGCCAACTGTTTTTTTCATAAATGCAGCTTCTTAGAAATGACTGTTTTAAGCTGGAAAATCATCTTGTTTGCCTTACTGCCTTGTCTAGAAGGATGACTAGTGTTTGATCTTGTCCTTGTACAAAGTTATCCTAAGGCAGCAAAAAAAATGTTTCTTGAATCAATTTAGCTTTAAACCAGGGTGATCTCCTGCCTGAATGCATTTAGACTGAGTGATGGTACACTTAAGTGGCATTAAATCAAGTGGCTTGTGAGGAAGGGGTGATGGTGTCTTTTGTCTTTGCAGGTAGATGAAGGGGATTGAATTTGAGACAAACCAGTGCTCAAATTTTTTTTGGATATTAAAAAATTAAAGCATATCTTTTCTTATTTCAACAGGGACCGGGTCGCATGACATCTGATCTTGCATCTTCTCCTGCAACAGGGTATGTCCCTGTTGGTCAGAAGCCAGAGGCTGTGGTGCATGCTATGAAGGTAAGGCTGTGCAGACCCCCACAACCAGGCAGTGCAGTGCCAGGTGGTGCAAAAAGCTGAGTGGCAGAACTGGGCATTTGCTCTTCTTGTGGAAACAACTGAAAATGGAAAGTTAGTACTCAGGCAGATTATTGGTAACCAGCACCTGTATCATGATGAATAATCATTGCTTCAAATAGTTGCAGAGCTAAGCAAGATTATGCACAGCTATTTTTTGGGGGTGAGAAGCCTCCAACAAAGGCTTCTGATGCTGAAAGTGCTGGTTACCCTTTCTTTTCATCAGTCCTGCATAAACTGAGTCTCTGAGGTGACAGTAGTGAACTAAATGCTGATGCCTGATGCCTTGCACAGTGTTGCAAACTCATGTGATACCTTTGTTTTTCTGACACTTTGTGCTAATTTGTTTTTTATTACATTTAGTCATCCAAGCCCTGATGCAGTCCAGACTACTGCTGTGGGCTTTTTCTTCCCAAACTGTGGGGTTTGTACCTTTCTGTTCCTGCTCTTCATTGCATTTGGCGAGGTGGTGGTGAGGAATAGTATTAAGCAGAGTTGGCAATGTTTTTAAATTATAAGATCAAATACTTATAAATTGATTATGATCATATTCTGGGTTCTTATTCACTTTAAGAATTACAGGACTTAATTTATTAGTAAGGGCAAGAAACATAAATGGTTTTAAGATGCAGTTTGATAAGCTTATGGAAAGGATTGGAAATTAATGAGGAAGATTCTTGGAAACTGAAAATTAGGTTTGGAAGGTCTGGTGCAATGACTCATAAAGGAATTGAAATGAAGTTGGATGACTGGTTGTTTTCATGTATTATTAATCCCTCTACTTCAGAGTTTTGTTGATTCCTAGAAAGAGCTGGATGAAATTCTCTGTGATTTCATAATTTGGCCAGTGGGGTAAATTTGTCTGTCTTCAAGTGCCATGGCTTGAATCAGGAAACAGGTGAAATAGCAGTCACATCTCATGGGGCATAAATGAGCTCACGTGATGTGTCCTGCTCATTGACTTGAGGTTAAAAATATTCTCACAATAGAAGTGAGGAGGAAATTCTCCTGCAGGTCAGTGTGGAGGGATGAGAAGGCATTTAGTTTTTCATCCTATGGCCCATTTCCAAGGATCATCTGAAAACTGAAAAGACTGAGGAAACTGGTCATGGTCTGAATCTCTTCTTCTCCCTTGTGGCACAGTGAAATGTGGTGAGCTGGTGGTCTCCAGGTGCAGATTGGTTTTTTGGCCATAGCATGCTGTAGCATGTGGAGTGGGTCTTAGTTGCACCCTGCAGAACTGGGCAGCTTTTCCTGTGCCAGCCCTGTCATGTAGTTGGTTTACTAGCTTAGACCTAGCTGGTCTACTAGCTTAGACCCTCACCTCCTGTGATATGACCTTCCCTTGAGGAGGAGAAGAGAGCAGCCTACAAATGAGACTTTGTGCTTTGGCTATACCACATCGGATACTAGGGAAAGCCCTTCTTGGCTGTGAAAGGAAGTCCTTATGGCTCTAGCAGGTTAGCTCCTTACTGTAAGGAAAGGCAAGGAGAGATGGAAGGACCACGAAGATCAGAGGAATGGAGCACCTCTCCTATGAAGACAGGCTGAGGAAGCTCAAGTTATTCAGCCTGGAGAAGAGAAGGCTCCAGGGAGACCTTATAGCACCTTCCAGTACTATAAAGGGGGCTTATAAAAAAAGAGGGAGAGGGACTTTTATGTCAGGTAATGACAAGACAAGGGGCAATGGTTTTAAACTGAAAGAGGGCAGGTTTAGATTAGATGTTGGGAAGACATTCATTAACTCACAGAGTGGTGAAGCACTGGAACAGGTTGCCCAGAAAAGTTGTGGATGCTTCATCCCCGCGAGTGTTCAAGGCCAGGCTGGATGGGGGGCCCTGAGGAACCTGATCTAGTGAATGGCATCCATACCAAACCATTCTATTATTCTGTGATTCTATGAAGTTGGCTTGATTTGTCTTGTGGGATGCTTGCATGCAAGTCTGTCCAGAAGTGATGTGGCCGCCAGGACGCGGCTCTGTGGCCGCACAAAGGTCACTGAGGGACTGTGCACTCCACATGGATTTGCAGGGCTTCTGGATTGCTTCTGTCTGCACCCACCTATGTAATGTACCCCAGACTTTTTCCTTGGGATTTTCCGGCAGCTGAATGCTATTTATGTGGCTGAAGCATTGCCTGCAATTTACCATAAGTTCTTCCTTGAGCACGTGTAGGGTTTTCTTTATTTTTGCTTCTGAAATAGTTTTGTTTGTTTGCACCTACTAAATAAGGAGCAAGATGACAGGTTGGCACTTCTAACAGCTGTTTTTGCTAAGAAGAATAAAAGGTACATATGCTACAGCTCAGTATCTCACTGAACATCAAAGCACTTTTCTTAGGAACTGAGCAAACCTGCTAAAGACATGAGGAGGTGAGGAGGAGACAAATGTAAGAGAACGACATTTAGCCTATAACCCAGCTGCCCCCACAGCAGCAGCCTGGACCTCTTCCATGCTCACAGAGCCATCAAGCAGGTGATCATCACTCCCACTAATCGTGGGTAAGGTAGGATTTAGCCTTCCAAAACTAGGGAAAAATCCTAGCAGGTCATATGGACTGTTCCACTGTTGAAGTAGGATGCTGTGTTCCCCAGTGCTTTGTTCAGCTGACTTATGAATCAACAAAATCAGTGAGGTTTGCACCCTTTGGAAATCATTCCTCAATCCCAGAGTGCTTTTTGTCACAGAAATGAGTACCTCAACTTTCAACTCCTCTTCCAACCTGCTATTACTGTCATTCGGACTCTTTGGTGGTGTTTTTTGGATTGTTGGTTTGTTTTTAAAATATGTTTATATTTTGGCCATGTGGGGCCAGTACAGCAAGTCAGAAAGGAGGTGGATGTGATGGACCTGGTGATTTTGAGGTGACACTGCCTTGGTCACAGAGGTCAGTGCAGTCACAAAGAACACCTGAGATGTTCTTTATTTTATGTATTGGCAGGGAGAAAGCCAGATGAGCCAGCATGCTCATTGAGAGCAAGGTGCACGTTGTCTTCAGAAAGTTCCCTGGGTTGGGAAGCATCAGAAATCACAGGAGGATGTACCCCAGTTTCTTAGACCCACACTGAATGCACAGTCCTTGAACTTTAGCTGAGCCATAGACAGCTGATGGGAAGGTATGTCCGTAGTCCCCAGTGGTGTAACTGGAGGAACATTAACCTGCTCCTTCTAAACAGACCAAGAGGCACCTGGCACGATCTAAGAATGGCTGAGGCTGGGTCAGCACTAAGAAAAGGCCTTCCTGTCTTTCTTCAGGAGGTGATTTCAGTCTTCAGAGTGCATTTTCTTCCAACATGCCTTTCCAGGGTAGGCTGTTGAATTTTATCACCCCGAATCCCTTTTCCCCATACCCAAGATGCTAACACATCTTTACAAAGGGCCTACCCAGACATGGGGTGGGCCCGGGAAGCAGGATAGTTTCCAGAGTAAATGAGATTAGGAAATTAAGTACAAACATAACTTCCATCTGATCAACTTTCAGCTCCAGCTCTGCCTGGTTAACACTATTAAAAGACATGTCCACTGAAAGAAATACACTGTGCCACCTTTTCACACCTCATGGACTAAGGAGTGTGGCTTTAGTTTAAGCACAAGTAGTAGAAAACCAGTTTATTTTAGTCCACTGAGACTCCTGTGCCTGTAAGATGGATGGCTGTGTGAAGCAGAGGCTGGAGCTAATGTGATCTTTAACTAACCTAGACCATGGCTGTCCTTGATGCTTGCCCTGTGGACACAGCTGGTGCTGAGCTGCCAGCCAGGCAGCCCTGGCGCTCCACGCCAGGATGTGATTCTGCAGGCTGCTGGCTTTGCAGCCGGCATCGGAAGCACACAGACTCCAGACAAGCAAGTTCAATGTGTGAGTCCAGCTGGATCAATAATTAATTCCCTCCTCTTTAGCAAAATATAGATGCTCCCTTTGTCAGCACGTACATGCTTTTTGCATCCCTCTTGCCCTTCCTCTCCTCTTAGAAAGGATGTAGATAATTCTTATATGTGCAAAGATTGGTCCCAAGTGGGTTAAGGGCCCTAGGAGAATGACCTATTTTTGTTTGTAGCACAGTTCCAGTACAGCAAGATTGCTGTGCTGAAGCAGACCAGGGGATAATCTACCCTGGTATCCCATTTCATGGAGAAGCCTTTGCTGTACACCTCAGCAAAGAGTGAAACCACCCTACCACTGCATCTAGCTCTGTACTTCCCTAGGAGGTATAGGAATATTTGTGCATACAACTACACCTGTCATACATCTTCACATGCATATGGATGTGTTGTGGCGAATTAGACCATGTGCTGTGCTATTTGATGGCGTTGGGTAATTCCAGGAGCTCTGACCCTGCACACTGAGTTGACCACCTTGCTCACCAGTGGCAAAACCCTGGGTGAGGTGTATAGAGGCAGCAGTAAAATCCGGAGGCAGTCCTGCACTGAGTTATACCTAGCTTGTGCAATATGCCCATCCAGAGGAGCTCTCTGAATGCATGCTGACGTGATGGAGGGGTATTCTTCGGGTCAGTGTGTTTCCAGTGGGAAGTGAAGGCTGCCTTTAACCCCAGGCAGCCTCTGTTCTGTAATCAAGGGACCACCTGGCCAGAGCTGGGCACTGCCTCCCTGGAGGAGCTCTGTGGAGGTGGCCAGGATAGTATGTGCCCCAGGTGGGATGTGGCGGGCCCTGGCTCCCCCTTGAGCTGCTGTAGAGGTGCAGGGTGTGGGCAGCACATGGTGGGGCACAACCACATAGACCTGCTGCATCTTACCAGACTTGTGTGGCCTGGGAATCAGTGCCCAGGGAGCTGTTTGAGGCAAAGAGGTTAAAAGTCACACTTCTCTTTCCAAACTTTGCCAAGCTGAAATCTAAGATAATAAATCACAGGCAGGATGTTTCTACTATTTTTTTGCAGTGTTTTGAGCTGCTTTCACAGCACATTTACTTGTCTTCCCAAAGCAAATCTACAGGTGTGGCCCAGCCACCAGGCTGAGTGGCATCCAGGAGCTCACAAACATGAGCACTGGATGTGTCACTCTGGCATGTCACTACTGCAGCTGTCACCTCTCTACCTCTTCAAGGAAACCTGCTTCTTCCCAGATCTGGGAGTGCCCAGTGGAGATGCCTTCCGAGCCACAGAGTGGAGCCCCCTTGGAGAGTCTCAAATCCTTCTCTCGCTCCCTTTCAAGGGTTTCCTGTCCTTTACAGCCATGTCTCCATTTTTTCACAGTGCTTTCATCTTATGAATATAATGGGAAAAGCCCCATAGTCACGAGCAGGAGGGAAAAGTGATACCTCATTCCCCTAGAGTCTCCTGTGGGTAGGGTGCTGCAGGCATGTGCCTGGCATCACCACTGTGGGTGCAGTCGGGGGTCATCAGTATTTGCACCAGATGAACTCACTGAGCAGCTGGTGTTACTCTGTAGCTGTGTCTGCAATCCTGGGTGGAGGGGTGTGTGCAGGCAATGCACTCATGTGCCAGCTCTGGCCAAGGCCCTTACCTTTACATGTGTGCATTGTGAGTGGAAGTGGTGCTGATGGAGATTCAAGTAAAGCTCAGGGTGTTGAAGTGATCAGCTCCATCTTCAGAGGGTACCCGTGGCATAAGGAGATGGTGGCCCGGAATCATCCTGGCACTTAATGGGGATGGCACCTTCAGAGAGTTGCAGTCATCGCGCAGGGGCCTGGGAGGCAGTAGTTTTTTTCCCCATCCTGTTTCCGTCCCCTTCACAGCCTGGCTGCAACCAGTTCAAAGGGGAAGTGGGAAAGAGCTGGGAATCACATAGGCATCTCAGGGTCCGAGGGTTCTATTATAACAGCCCAACTCTTGCTGTCACTGTGGGCCTCCAAGGGGTTCCCTTGAGAAACTGAGTTAGAAGCAATTTTCAGCCAAAAGGTGAATGAAATTAGCCATGTTTGTTTAAGATCTGCAAATTCGTGGCTGATCGAAGACCACACACTTCAGCTGCACAGTGGGATTTTCAGTGGTACAAACCTTTGTTCCCCTCTTTCCCTGAAGGCCAAAACACCGTCAGACCTAAAGGCTGCTGGCCTGGGCTCACTGCAGTTGCCCCATGACTTGGATTAGTAGGAGGGAGTAGAGTAGCCCTACTCCTGTGAAAGACGGGAAAGGAGGGAGCACAAATTGCTGGGGGGCTGCCTTGTTGGGGGGCTGCCTGGAACGTGGGGCTACCAGCAGCCTTCCTGGAAGAGATGTGCTTGTGGACACAGGCAATTTGCTGCCAATTGTCACATGGTCCCCCAGGACTGTGGCAGCAGCAACAACATGCAGGTGGTGGGACAGAGGCAGGACATCGCAGGGGAACAGGGAGGATGGAGGTGCTGAGCTTGGTGTCACGCTCGTCCTTGCTCGTCTTGAGGCTTTGTGAATCCTGCCGGTTTAAATACTTGTTAATGGTGTTCTCAGGGACACAAATAATTATTTGAGGATCATAATGCTTTTTTAATATTGTTTTTTTGTAGGTCCTTGAGGTCCATGAAAATCTGGACAGGCAAATGCAAGACAATTATGAAGAAGACCTAAGTGAAAAGGAGAAGGCGATTGTTCGCGAAATGTGCAATGTAATAACTCTCTCAGCAACTCTTGGGGTTCCTTTTGTGGTCATTTGTTGGAAGTATGGAGGAGCAGGGATCTGCTGTGTGTAAGCCTTGTGAGGCCTACAGGCACAAGGGAAGAGTGGAGGCTCTGCTGACCACTGTTTTGGGTGTCTGTAACGAGTGCCTTGTTCACTGCACGGAGCAGCCTTTGCTCAGCAGATAGTTCCCACTTTGCTGCCTTCAAGGCTGTGGAGTAGCTCTTGTAGCTGACCGAGAGATGTGCAAGGGGCTCTCCCCGGCTAGGAGAGTCCTCTTAGCAGTTGTCTCCACCTGTGCCATTAGGCCTGTGGTTTGGGCCAAGCAGCAATTGATTGCCACCTTTAAAGCCGAACAGCTTGAATGGGTTTGAGCCTAAACCATAAGATAACATCAGAGGGAGAATTTTCTTGTTATGATACGTGGGGTTCTATTAGCACTGGCAATGTTTTGGGCAACCACACTGTTAACTGAGCTGGCCACATCCTGTATGGTGAGTGTTTGTACCAAACCACTGCTCTGAGGTGTCTGCTGGGTGTCTGCTGTCATGGCATTGCCTCCAGCCTCAAAGCACCTTGGCCACGCTCTGGCTTTGAACAAAGAGTTTGGGATTTCTGCTAGAGCACAGCCCGAGCTGCACGATGCCTACACTTGGGGATGTGCTGTTCGACTGCCCACAGCAGGGAGGATGATGCTTATGAGCCTTCTTTTTTTAAAGCCCACGCTGGAGGTCAGCCCAAGTGGCATCATTTAGTGCCTCCCAGCAGCTGAGAGGAGCCTAATGCTCTGTTTTAAATTCTGAAATACACCTCAATCCTAAAAGGAGGGTAGAAAGAACACAAGTGCATCTCGCAGAGCTAAATCACTCCGAGCATCCTTGGCAAGGGCGGAGGCACTTCACTTTGGTTGCTGGATCCCTATAAGCAGAGCCAAGACCAGAGTAAATGAGAGCCTGCTTTTTAGGATATTGATGCCACAGTCCCTTATAGCTATGCTAGGGGAAAGGTAAAATACCATAACTTCATCCTCCAGAATTGACTCGTTTCTATTTGTCTCTCATCAGCTGTTTTTTCTTTAAATATTCATTTTATGTAGATTCAAGGCAGTGTTTTGCAGTTTGTTTTTTTTTTAAATAGTCTCCCTTACCCCAGTGGCCCTAGAGGGATAAAATGTATGTTTTTAGAAAGTCATGTGTATATAATTTTAATCATTATCTTTTTCATTATCTTTTCTGTTCATGGTAGCATCTTTTCTGTGAGCATGGCAGGGTTGACCTTCCATTGAACTTAACTTCTGAATCTAGTGTATTTGTTTTATACTATTACCCCAGGCAAAAACGGTTCTAATTTCAAGAGGGACTAATTAGAAAAATGCATCAATGGTTTCTTTTCTTGGAAAGTGGTGCACAGATGCCATCCAGTGTCCCTGCTGAGAATTGCAGCCCAGTTCCAGGAAAGGGCTGGTTTTGACTTCAATTGCAATTAAAAAAATACTGCAATTCCTCAGAGGCTTTGATGTTTGGGTTTTTTTAATCCCTGTCTTCTCTCCCCCATGACTTTATTTTTTCTTACAGGTTGTCTGGCGAAAGCTGGGTGATGCTGCGAGCTCCAAACCCTCCATCAGGCAACATCTGTCAGGAAACCAGTTCAAGGGTCCCTTGTAGGAACACCATACTGGTGACTGGAAGTGATGGATTCTGTGAAGACTAAAGAGGCAGAGCTCAGTGTTTCTGGCTGCCTGTTCTTTAGGATTTGGGGTTGAGTTTTTTTCAGGGTTTCCTTTTTCTTCTTCTTTTTTTTTTTTTTTTCCCCAGCTTTTTTTTGTAACAATAGTGTAAATATGGCAGCTAAAGGCCTGATTTCCAGGCTGTGGTGCTCTGGAACTACTGTTCAATGGGTAACCATCCAATAATGCCAGACTTGCATCATTTGTATTGTAGTCCAAATCTGCTTTGTTGTAATGGTCTGTTTGTAGAATTAACTAACTCCAGAGAATTTCTAAGAGGAACAAGAAGAACCCTTGACCTGCGGAGAAGTCACCGTTTGTACTGCTCCTGTCCACCCACTTGTCAGTGATTCATAGCTGGGTTAGTGGCTCCAGGCAGCACTTTCCAAGGAAAATGCAAGTCAAATTCACTGGCTTACTGCCTGCCAAGTTCATGAGCTGCTAACACTTTTTTTGGAGGTCCTTCTTTTGAAGAATGACATGCAACTGTTTTCACAAGGCTCTGTGTAAAACATTGAGTGGCAAGCTAAAAACACTTGTACCACCATACTTTGTATGGTGGTGCTCATCACACAAGTGTACAGAAAGGCTTGAGACTCTGTATCAGCTGTTAATGAACTATTTTTCATGAACAAATGACACAAGATTTCTGCAGTTGTAATGTGAATGAAGTCATTTAGCCACACACCAGTATTCCCTACAAATATGGCAACACTTTTCCTGTAAAGCTTTCACTACAAAGTAATTCAGCAAAAAACTGCCATCCTAGCAGTGCTTATGGCTTTCACAGGATCTTCAAGAGCAGCTCATCTTTCACATAAGGAAGATTTGGGTGGGTTTTTTTAATGTTCTTGCTGGATCCCTCACCTATACTGGTTCCTGTGTAAGGTAATCAAACAACAACCTTGCAGAGCTGAATAAAAACTCCATAAACACGGGCTGTCAGGTGAGACTGCTTCCTGCCATTCAAGCTTTATTTTTGTGAATGAACCAAAACAAGTGAGTTTTTCCTTCTTCAAATGGTTGTATATAAAACAATAGGACTTATATTTTGCTATTGTGGAGTAGCTGCCTGTGTAGTTGTAAGAATTTGACTCCCTCCTTTTCCAAGTTGTCACAGCAGCTGTCCCTGTATTTCATTAGATGTTCTTTCCCAATAGTCCAAGGAAGTGGGGCTTCGTTATTAGAACTCATTTCTGTAACATAATTTTAAAGACAGGCATGTGAAAAGATCAAAGCCTCCTCTTCAAAAGTTGCATTGATTTTAGTGATTATTTTGAAGATGTAATGACCTCAAACACCATTCCTTTCCTTTTATTCTCTGTAAGAATCAGTCACAGCTACAGACAGCTGAATTAGCTGGACAGGTTCTTCCTCTTAAATTAATTTGTTCTACCAGTTGAGTTCTTGACTTGTGGTATTGTATTAACAAGGAGCACCGATACAATACCAAGGAGCCCATGCTGCAACTTATGAAAGGTAATTGGTCCTATGGCGTACAATAAACTAGCTGCCTGGGTGAAGAATCTGCAGTGTCAGAGCCGAAACCTGTAACCAGTAAGAAAATAGAGAAGGAATACAACCGAAATACACAGTAACCCATAAGAGTAAGAACCACGTCATTATTCATTGCAGAAATAAAAATGTAACAGTCGAGTAGGTTATTTGAAAACAACCAAGAGCCACCCCCGAAACCCAAGCACATATTCTCACTCACACACTCACCAGTAGATTTCTTACTATTGCTCAGTCAGTGAACACTGAGCTAGCTAGCTCTCAGTCTAATAGTATTTACATCCCATGGAGTCCGGAAAAATCCATTCTAGAGTCTGACTGTGTCCTTAAGGCACAGGAACTTTAGAGGATTCTGGATTTCCCCATCTTCGCTTTCTGTTTTGACCTCCAGTTTCTAGTCACCATTGACAATTACTTGTCTTCCTGCTGTACAATTTGTACCTTGAGATTTCCATACCAGAAAAGGTGATGCAAAGCAGAGGTATCACTCTTTCTTAACATCTAATGTCAAACAGGGTTACTTTAATCTACCTGCTTGAAAGCCCATTTTAATTTTGATGGCATCTAATCACTGGATTAAGCAGAGAATTTAAGTATATTTGGAACAAGGTTAATTTATGTCAGTGAATTTTAACTAAAGCAATGCAAATGTTGCCAGCACTTAAAGAGAGTTAACTGTGTTGATGACATGCTTGCTGTTTAAGGGGTATATTAGGCTAGCAGGTCCTCTCAACAAGAGAAGAGCTACATTAATCAGACTACTGGTCTCACCAGCTACGTAATTCCCATTCAAATATTTCCTGCTATCAAATTTCTCTCAAAGTCTATTCAATGACTTCAAGCAAAGCTTGTTTTGTTCTACCTGCAGATCTCACCTACAGGGGAAACAGTGCTGCGATTGAGGTCAATTCAGTAATCCTGGAGAGCCAGTTTACAGGGTAGCCAGCAATTCATCTGAACAACCTTTATACTTAGGGTACCGCCCAGTGATTTTTTAAGATTCTATTTGGCAGCATCATCTTCAATATAAGATGTGCATCACTGAATTTGCAGAAGAACACAACAGTGCTGTACCTTGGGGTGTTACTGTTCGGAGGTTTTTAGGCTTGCTACTCATCATACTTAGCTCTATTTGAGCTATAAAGTGTCTTCCTGGGGTAAAATGATGATCAATGACTTTACGGGATGACTTGGGTGCTGAATTTTCAGCTGTTTAAAAAGGTATTTTATATGCATATTTAAATTCACTATGTGCTAAGTCTCCAGTGAAAACTACCTGAGGAGCTTTGTACATTAAGTTGGAAGAGAGCATCCCTTGAAATAGTGGCCATTAAATTGATATATTTGGCGCAATAGCCCAAGATAATTTCCTCAAGATTGAAGCCCTGGGTTCTGCAATCCTCTGGCAAAGAAAGCATCCACTGTTTACAAAAGGACTTTGCTTGCTTAAGGAAAGTAAAATCACATCCTTGACTTTTGTTGGAGTGACTGAAGTAAGCAGCATTTTCCTAACAGTTCCTGAAATGCTGCAGTGTAACCAGCTTCAGTTGGCTCTTCGCACCTTGATAAGACTGCCGAGCACAACCTTGTTTGAGAATGGCACATTTTTATCCAAATATTAGATATTAAAAGAAATCAGTGTTAAAGTGACCTTTTATCTTTCTAGAAACTGTGGGGGAAGAGTACTACTGATCTTTTTCAAAGTGCATGACTGTAAAGTGATAAAATTGTATATTTTTCATAATGTGGGGAAAGTCTATTTGTGCTGCTTTAGAAATCAGTTTAAAGTTTGATTTCTGTTAAACCTGTGATCTTACAGCCCTGCTATATTTTCTGTATATGAATTACAATGAACTGGAAAAGTTAGCACCTGCTGTTGTGTATATAGCAAAATTCTTTAGACCTTAGCACGCGTTTTTACCTATTATTGAACCACTCTGGCTTTTTTGGGGAGGGAAAGTAATAGTACAGATTTTTTTGATAATGTGTGTAAAACATTCATTTGAAATATTTTAGTAAAAATGAAGTAAGAAATTGATTGTGATAGTGTATACTTCTAGCTGAATAAAATAAAATACATTCTTTTTAAATAAACTGATGAATAAGATTTGGGAGACCACTGCTGAAATATCTTGCAGTAAGTACCATAGTTGTGAATTCTGAACTAATATGAAGAATCTGGAAATCCACTAAATTCAGAACCAATTTTATTTGGGTAGAGTGAACAAAGTAGTCCCATTTATAACTATGATGTACATCACAGTAGGCTGTTACATTCAGACTTCAACACTTAGAAAATATATATATTATGTACAGGAATTTGCAAATAGGTGTAAACATACAATATTTTAAGATACCAGTACATTCCAAACCAAAACTATCAGCAAGGCAAACACCTCAAAATTATTCCAGTCAGCTAGCATTCAGAATCTCCCTTAAATAAAGCAGCTTTCATGCTTGACATCATGTTCTTTTAATTATTACTAAAAATGAAGTTTCTTATTATAGATCACATATCATGGTATCTGGCTATTTTGATACTCAAAAATAGGCACTGATTTCTAGAAGGAAATTTTCTTCTTACTGATATAATTGAGCCAATATGGCTGGTTTTGCTAGTACAAAGTAATCCAGTGCTGGAATAAGTCAAGACAATTTAAACTTAAGTCAAATGTATAAAGTTAGAATAGATACTGCAAAGCTGATTAAAATCTAAAAGCCTATATAACTCACCATAAACAATACTGCAAACAGATCAGCTAAATTTTCATTTACTCTCATTTCTTCATCTAAATTATACAGATTACCCTCCTCTTCATCTTTACAATGTAGGTTTTGGCTAGCTACTCCTGCCTAGTCAACATAAAGGTATCGTGCAAATTACCTCATGCTATCTCATCCACGTAGCACGTCCCAGTCCTGCTACAGGTGGCATACCAGGTGGTGGAATTGGAGGTGGGACAGGTGGCTGTCCACCTGGGGGAACAGTAGGTGGGGGGTAACTAGCTGGTGGCATTCCCAGCCCTGGAGGTGGATGAGGTGGTACTGCATGAGTTGGAGGCAGTCTTGGAGGTGGGAAATTAGGATTGTATGTAGGTGGAGGAGGATATCCAGGAGTAGGAGGTGGAATATTGGGTGGGGGGAAAGAAGCAGGGGGAGGAGGTGGAACTGGTGGTGGAGGGTTGGGAGGATAGACATGAGGATGATATGGTAGATGAGTTGGTGGTCCATAGGCCGGTGGTAAAGCTCCATATGTTGGTCCTTCTGTTTTCATCATTGACTGAAGACTTTGATAACCCTCCCCTGACATGTAAGAATTTGTAGTAGACATCCCTGTAATATAACTGGTGGGGGGTGGGGGTGGGGGACGATGTGGCAGAGGTGGAGGTTGATGTACTGGGGCAGGATGAGCAGGGGGAGGAATCTGGACCTTTGGCATATCTACTGAGTCCACAGTAGTAGATTGCTCTGGTTCTCCCATTGAAACTGCAGTTGTCAAAGGAGGCTTCCGCTCTGGAAAAGAAAATTTCATTTATTTTTTTGAAGTGGCAATAACAGCTTCTCAATACTTTGTATTTTTCTTCCAGTTAACACAGCAAAAGAGAACTCAATTCTCTATGTCTCTGAATGCCACATGGTATCCAGTCAGATCTTCTTAGGTCACTGAAAAACAACTAAGCTGCTTAACAAAGCTTCAAGGTCAGCTTTTCCCATTCTAATAGTTAAATTCAGCTTCCTTTCCTATTACTATTTTTTTGTAATTTACATATTGTTGTACAATCAGCAGAATTAGCAGACTGGATGGACGGAATCACAACTAGTGGATTTAAAAAGTCATGGGATCCAAGGTACCAAAAATCTTTTGATCAGTGCTTCCATCTTCTTTAGTCTAGGCCTCCTTTCTACCTCTTTGATAGTCCAGGAGGTATCCTGGGATTACCCTCTGCACTTCACCTGCCTCCCATATTGGGAAATATTATTTGAGAACACAGACCAAAGTCTCAAGTCTTTAACACTCAGTTCTACACCTGTTTACCAAAAGAAAGACAAAAGGAAAACCAGAGGGTAAGTAAGAAGGACATAAAATCTTATCAGCTTTGTTCCACTGATTAGTTTCAGGGAACTCAGCACCTGATACTCTGGAGAAGTTCATAAAAAGGTCAGCATTTTAAAGAATTACACTTGGCCACTTCTGGAAAGGACATGTTCTAAGCTGTCTTCTCTTTAAATAAGAATTCCCCCCCCCCCTTAATGCAGACTCTATAAAGTAAATAATACCCCTAGGATGACTGACCTAATAGCAACCTCTCTGTATGGACAGAGTCAGTATTCAAATGGCCAACAAAAAAGATTTTGGGGCATCTTGACCTCCATCTTGCTCATATATATAAGCATCTAAAACATTGTTCAGTAAGAAAAGTTATTTAGAAGCAGGTATAGGGCAGCCATTTCTGGTGGCATACTAAACTGTCAGTGTGAAACAAAATTTGAGATAAAGCCATCTCCTAGTACTTGTGTTAATTTTGTCAATATGCATTCTTGGTTTTCACCTGATTTTTCCACAGTTGCCCTTTAAAGACTATTCTGAAAATGTTTCAATGCTCATACGATCATATTTTTGTAGAAACAAATTCAAAGAGGAAAATTTTAGATAACAAGGGAAATAAATCTATTACCTGCCTATGTAGGATTTACCTTATCTAAACAGTGATAATTTTAACAGCAAAGTCATCCCCTAGGACAGCCACATAATTAACCATGCAAGGTGGGTACGCTGGCTGTGGTACCTATGATTTCAATGACTTCTAGCTCCTACTGCTCCTTCTTGCAGGCAGTAATTTCCCCATTTGCTTATTTTCAGAACCATTCTGGATGCAAGATGTGCATTCAAGATTTAACAACTGAAGGAATAATGAACATGGTATTTAGAAAAAACCCTTCATTCTTCATTAGATTTTAACAGCTGGGAAAAACGGTCCTACTGTATTTCAGAGCACTGCTTTTCTCTCTTGTTCTTTCCTGTTCTGAGCTGTCATCTTAGAGTTACATTATGGACCGTGGTCTGTAAAATATTTATGTCATATTTAAGGGTCACTGGAAGGACAGCTAATGCATCAAGGCGCTGGAAGCACATTTTTACAACAGTACAGTTTATTTGGCAAACATAAGGCATGTGTGCAGTGTTACTGTTCTCTGGCAGATAAAAGTCATCTGATGTGCAGCAAAGAATGCATCCCTTGTATTTTGAAGTGACACACCTGCAGAATTCCTATACTACAGATGTATAGGAATACAGATGCATGGAGGACTTCTACAGGACAGCTGGAAGCCCATCTAGTAATCTAATATGGCATCTGCCTTCCTTTTGAGATCACGAGTCCCTTCTTGCCTGCTATTGACAATTAGTTTCAGTCTCCTAGGCCTTTAAGAGTTGCAGCTTTGTTTTGCCCTTGTCCACCCAGTATAGTCTTGTTTCCATCATAAGTTTTTTACTTCTGTCTGGAAAAGCCTGTGCTAGTAACATGAAATTCCCTCTAGAGCTTATTGAACTTACATTTTAACTTGCCAAGCTGATTAATCAAGGCAACAATCCCCTGCCCCCACACTGTTACCTACCATGACCTGGATGAAAAGCAAGGCAATTAACAACAAGAGTAAATGTGCTGAAGAAAGTAAAAGCTTACCTGGAGGGGGATGTGCAGGAGGTATTGGTGGATGTGAAGTTTCAATTTTAGAAATTTTAGATGGTGGCGGTGGTTCTAAAAAACATTTGTCAGTTCCTAATTGGTTATTGCTCTGCAATATTTTCCAAATTCCAACTCTGGTCTCACACTAATGATTATCATATCATATTACACTACACAGAAGTACAGTGGAAATCCTATATACTAGGTATGTTTAATAGAGAAAACTAAAATCATCTTTGTATAAATCAAGTGGCATCAAGTATCCCATACAAGTCTTCCAAAAGAACCCATGCCCACAAGTCCAAACAACTTTAAATAGAGACAAACTGTCCCAATAACAGTATGTAACTGAAGATGAGCAAGTACATGTTTTCTAGCCCAAAACTTTAACTTGTAAATAGTTGAAACAGATCTCAGAAGTTGACTGAATTAAGACTGTATTATGAGACCCTTGAGGCACAGTTATACTCAATTATTTCAAGTTCTGCAGCTAGGAACTTCTAAAAAAATATATTTAAAGTATATGTTTAAAGATGCATTATCAGGATCAAATAGTTTAGAATTGCCAAGCCTGTAAGCAAACAAAGTGCATGTCAGCAAATGACTTATTCTAGTTCAAACAGCAAAATGGAAGCAATATGAATAGAATACTAATATTTACCTGCTGTCTTTGTTTCTTCTTTTGGAGATACAGCCTGTTTGGAGAGGGAAAAAATAAGATTAAAATAAGACCATTACAATCAGTCTCTTTTCCCAGGTAAACAGGACAAGAGGAAACAGACCCAAGTTGTTCCAAGAGTGGTTTAGATTGGATATTAGGCAAAATTTCATCATGGAAAGGGTGGTCAGATATTGTGGTTGAGTCACCATCCCTGAAGGTATTAAAGACATGTAGATGTGGCACTTGGGGAAATGGTTTAATGGTGGACTTGACAGTGCAGCATTTTAACAGTTAGAGTCAATGACCTAAAGCTCTTTTCCAACCTAAATGATTCTATGGTGTCTTTAGATAGATGCAAGACAAACACTGAATAAAGTCAAATCACACTGGCAAAGCCCAGCTCAACTGGCAGAATGAGAAGGCTGGAAAAATAACAGGTATTTTAGAGAGAGCATTTTCTGCTGTTCTCACTGTGGAGTATTGCATCTCATTTAATGTACTTATCATCCACTGCACATCTGTCATGGTCTGGTACGCTGCTCACTGAGCTGAAAACAAGAGACCTGGCCTCTATTCCAGGTTCTGCTTTGACCTGTCACTCAACCTTTGCCAAAATCACTTCAGGCCTTTATGCTTTATTTACCAAGACAGGAGGGCAGTGAAAGTGTTGCACAGCATAGAACATTTCAGAAGCCTTCAGATGGAAAGCATTGTATAAAAAACAAATGTTATGCCTGCAAAAAAAATGTATGCACTCTGAGCAAAACCCAAAAAATCACACATCATCTTTCCAATCACAAGTTTTTGGTTGGGTTTTTTTCTTGTTTGCTTGGTTGTTGGTGTATTGTAGTGTTTTTAAAGAATCTCAGATAATGGAGTAAGAAAAAATCTTTCTGGATTACACAGTCCCACTGAGATGACGACTTAATGGTCTCAGAGAAAAGCAGAAAACTTAACTGAAATTTTAAGTACAAATGTATTTAAAATTAATGATAAAGGTCAGAGGGGCATGGTACACAGCTTCTTCGTCTTTTCAATGAAAAGGGTTTTTCAAGGGACTATTTACCTCTAGTAGCTTTACCTTCACAAACTGTTGCTCTGTTGCCTTCA